GTTTATTCCCCTCTAGGGGAGAGGGACAGTAAGTGGTCGGTGCACTACACTACCCAGAAGCCCCTGCTGTTCGTCCCTGCTAAGAGACGCTCCGGCAGCGCGGATGATCTGCGAGGTCAGAGGTCAACGGAGAGCTCAGGTGAACACACACACACACACACACACACACACTCACTCTCACACACACACACACACACACTCACACACACACACACACACTCACACTCACTGCCACACACACACACTCACACTCACTGCCACACACTCACACTCACAACTCTCACACTCACACACACCTCACACTCTCACTCTCACACTCACTCACACTCACACTCTCACTCACTCACTCACACTCACACACTCACACTCACACACTCACACTCACACCCGCACACTCACACTCTCACTCTCACACTCACACTCACACTCTCACACTCACACACACACTCACACTCTCACTCTCACACTCACACTCACACACTCACACTCACACTCACACTCTCACACTCACACACACACTCACACTCACACTCACACTCACACTCACACTCACACTCTCACACTCACACACACACTCACACACTCACACTCACACTCACACTCACACACACACTCAACCACACACTCACACACTCACACTCACACTCACACTCACACACACACAACCTAAAACCTCTATTCATAAATAAGGTAGTTTTTTTTATCAATATCGCTTACATGCTTTTATTTTGGTGATTATGGCTTCAGAGCAGGTTGCAGAGAGCTGCAGCACACACACACACACACACCTCACACTCACACACACACACACACACACCACACACACACACACACACACACACACACACACACACACACACACGCTCTGCAGACTGCAGTGCTCCAGACAAAGGATCATCACGTGTCTTTTATCTAATAATGCTGCATTTATCATGATTTATTTATGATGATGATGATGAAGATGATGATGATGATGACATAAACACGCCTGTCAGCTCCTCCACAGATTTACTGCAGATAAACTGATAAACAATATTTATAATCTGGCATTTTTAGACTAAAATAATCAAAGCATTTACTTTTTATTGATTAAACTGATTGATATATTGTTTCCTTATTGATTATTATGAACAGTTATTAACATCTGTGTGTGTGTGTGTGTGTGTGTGTGTGTGTGTGTGTGTGTGTGTGTGTGTGTGTGTGTGTGTGTGTGTGTGTGTGTGTGTGTGTGTGTGTGTGTGTCTCTGTGTGTGTGTGTGTGTGTGTGTGTGTGTTTGTCTCTGTGTGTGTTTAGCATGTAACGGGCTGACTCAGCATGGCTGCAGCCGACCAATCAGCTCTCAGTTCGATGCGTCATGTTCCGCCCCTCATCCCCGCCTCAACCAATCAGAGAGCAGCTCGGCACGCAGAGGCTGGAAGGACAAAAGCAGGAGGATGGTGAGCCACACACACACACACACACACACACACACACACACACACACACACACACACACACTGAGGTGGCAGAAATGCCATAAAAGAGATTAAACTTGGCAATAATAAATTAAATGTGGACGTAGAAACAGAAATAAATAAATGTATATAATAGAAAAGGGAATTGAGAAAATATATATATTTAAAAATAATTACAGACAAATAAGACATCTTTTGAATAGAATTATAATAAATGTATACAGTAATAAATAAATAAAATGTAGAAATAATTACTAAAATCCTTATAATTGTCATTTTTACTTTGTTTACTTATTCTTTTTTATTTTAATTGTATTTAATTGCATTCCAAACCTTACGTATGTATATTGTTCTACTGCCATCTGCTAGTTATTTATTTTCATTTATTATCATTATTGTTATTATTGTTATTATTATAGCTGCTGTTGTCTCTCTGCATGTCTCCCTTATTGATGTCTTGATTCTTCCTGTGTGGTTCCAGAGGTCCAGCTTCTTCCTGAAGCTTTGCTCTCAGTCTTGTTTCTCAGTTTGTTTCAAGTTCTCCGTTTGGAGGAGAAAGGTAAACAAGGACAGAGCTAGAATACATTCATCAAATTAGACTAGACTAAAGTAGACTAGAGTAAAGTAGACTGAAGTAGACTAGACTAAAGTAGACTAGACTAAAGTAGACTAGAGTAAAGTAGACTGAAGTAGACTAGACTAAAGTAGACTAGACTAAAGTAGACTAGACTAAAGTAGACTAGAGTAAAGTAGTCTAGTCTAAAGTAGACTAGACTAAAGTAGACTAGAGTAAAGTAGACTAGAGTAAAGTAGACTGAAGTAGACTAGACTAAAGTAGACTAGACTAAAGTAGACTAGACTAAAGTAGTCTAGTCTAAAGTAGACTAGACTAAAGTAGACTAGACTAAAGTAGACTAGACTAAAGTAGACTAGACTAAAGTAGTCTAGTCTAAAGTAGACTAGACTAAAGTAGACTAGACTAAAGTAGACTAGACTAAAGTAGTCTAGTCTAAAGTAGACTAGACTAAAGTAGACTAGACTAAAGTAGACTAGACTAAAGTAGACTAGACTAAAGTAAAGTAGACTAGACTAAAGTAGTCTAGTCTAAAGTAGACTAGACTAAAGTAGACTAGACTAAAGTAGACTAGACTAAAGTAGACTAAAGTAGACTAGACTAAAGTAAAGTAGACTGAAGTAGACTAGACTAAAGTAGACTAGACTAAAGTAGTCTAGTCTAAAGTAGACTAGACTAAAGTAGACTAGAGTAAAGTAGACTAGAGTAAAGTAGACTGAAGTAGACTAGACTAAAGTAGACTAGACTAAAGTAGACTAGACTAAAGTAGTCTAGTCTAAAGTAGACTAGACTAAAGTAGACTAGACTAAAGTAGTCTAGTCTAAAGTAGACTAGACTAAAGTAGACTAGACTAAAGTAGACTAGACTAAAGTAGACTAAAGTAGACTAGACTAAAGTAAAGTAGACTAGTCTAAAGTAGACTAGACTAAAGTAGTCTAGTCTAAAGTAGACTAGACTAAAGTAGACTAGAGTAAAGTAGACTAGAGTAAAGTAGACTGAAGTAGACTAGACTAAAGTAGACTAGACTAAAGTAGACTAGACTAAAGTAGTCTAGTCTAAAGTAGACTAGACTAAAGTAGACTAGACTAAAGTAGACTAGACTAAAGTAGTCTAGTCTAAAGTAGTCTAGTCTAAAGTAGACTAGACTAAAGTAGACTAGACTAAAGTAGACTAAAGTAAAGTAGACTAGACTAAAGTAGTCTAGTCTAAAGTAGACTAGACTAAAGTAGACTAGACTAAAGTAGACTAGACTAAAGTAGACTAAAGTAGACTAGACTAAAGTAAAGTAGACTAGACTAAAGTAGTCTAGTCTAAAGTAGACTAGACTAAAGTAGACTAGACTAAAGTAGACTAGACTAAAGTAGACTAGACTAAAGTAGTCTAGTCTAAAGTAGACTAGACTAAAGTAGACTAGACTAAAGTAGACTAGACTAAAGTAGACTAGACTAAAGTAAAGTAGACTAGACTAAAGTAGTCTAGTCTAAAGTAGACTAGACTAAAGTAGACTAAAGTAGACTAGACTAAAGTAGACTAGACTAAAGTAGACTAAAGTAGACTAGACTAAAGTAGACTAAAGTAGACTAGACTAAAGTAGACTAAAGTAGACTAGAGTAGTCTAGTCTAAAGTAGACTAGACTAAAGTAGTCTAGTCTAAAGTAGTCTAGACTAAAGTAGACTAGACTAAAGTAGACTAGACTAAAGTAGACTAAAGTAGACTAGACTAAAGTAGACTAAAGTAGACTAGACTAAAGTAGACTAAAGTAGACTAGAGTAGTCTAGTCTAAAGTAGACTAGACTAAAGTAGACTAGACTAAAGTAGTCTAGTCTAAAGTAGTCTAGACTAAAGTAGACTAGACTAAAGTAGACTAGACTAAAGTAGACTAAAGTAGACTAGACTAAAGTAGACTGAAGTAGACTAGACTAAAGTAGACTAAAGTAGTCTAGTCTAAAGTAGAGTAGACTAAAGTAGACTAAAGTAGACTAGTCTAAAGTAGACTAGACTAAAGTAGACTAGACTAAAGTAGACTAGACTAAAGTAGTCTAGTCTAAAGTAGACTAGACTAAAGTAGACTAAAGTAGACTAGTCTAAAGTAGACTAGACTAAAGTAGACTAAAGTAGACTAGTCTAAAGTAGACTAGACTAAAGTAGACTAAAGTAGTCTAGTCTAAAGTAGACTAGACTAAAGTAGACTAAAGTAGACTAGTCTAAAGTAGACTAGACTAAAGTAGTCTAGTCTAAAGTAGACTAGTCTAAAGTAGACTAGACTAAAGTAGACTAGACTAAAGTAGACTGAAGTAGACTAGACTAAAGTAGACTAGACTAAAGTAGTCTAGTCTAAAGTAGACTAGACTAAAGTAGACTAGACTAAAGTAGACTAGACTAAAGTAGACTAAAGTAGACTAGACTAAAGTAGACTAAAGTAGACTGAAGTAGACTAAAGTAGACTAGACTAAAGTAGACTAGACTAAAGTAGACTAGGCTAAAGTAGACTAGACTAAAGTAGACTAGACTAAAGTAGACTAGACTAAAGTAGACTAGACTAAAGTAGACTAAAGTAGACTAGACTAAAGTAGACTAGACTAAAGTAGACTAAAGTAGACTAGACTAAAGTAGACTAGACTAAAGTAGACTAAAGTAGACTAGACTAAAGTAGACTAGACTAAAGTAGACTAGACTAAAGTAGACTAGACTAAAGTAGACTAAAGTAGACTGATACTGGGTTTAAACTCAAGTTGAAATGATCTTGGAATATCTAAATGAAGGTGTTTCTGTGCTCTCAGTCCTCAGCGTTCTCTGACGATGACGAGGTGTTCATTCTGAACCAAACGCGCCCCGTGACTCCTCTGGTTCTCAACCCGGGTCACCGAGCCTCCTGCTGGGACGTCTTCACCTACGAGCAGCCTGAGGAAGAGGAGGAAGAGGAGGAGGAACAGCTGAACCCCCACCTGCCCACACCTGAGGAGAGGATGAGGCAGCAGGCGGGGGCCGTCCCAGCTGACATCGTCCCCATCAACATCACAGGTAACAATAATACATCACGTTTTTATAGCGCAACAAAAAACATAACCAGTAGTCCTAATCCAAGTGTGAGTAAAGTGTGTGAGTAAAGTGTGTGAGTAAAGTGTGTGAGTAAAGTGTGTGAGTAAGTGTGTGAGTAAGTGTGTGAGTAAAGTGTGTGAGTAAAGTGTGTGAGTAAAGTGTGTGAGTAAAGTGTGTGAGTAAGTGTGTGAGTAAAGTGTGTGAGTAAAATGTGTGGGTAAAGTGTGTGAGTAAAGTGTGTGAGTAAAGTGTGTGAGTAAAGTGTGTGAGTAAAGTGTGTGAGTAAAGTGTGTGGGTAAAGTGTGTGAGTAAAGTGTGTGAGTAAAGTGTGTGGGTTGTTGATCGGAGTTTGAAAGCTGAGTGAGTTTTGAGAGTTCATGTTTGCTCTTCAGGAGAGAGTTTTGATCGTCAGGCCAGCTTTCGTAAAGTTGCTCCCAACACCGACTCGTTATTGAACCGACCGCGACTCCTGAACCGCCGAAAGACCGTCACCGGGATCCCAGAGGACGTCAGGAGACTCGGTAAAACCAAAAAAGAAAATACTCTTCTGTTATTACTTCTCGTTCGTTATCCTAAATCTCACTCTGTTTCCAGACTCTCAGCTGGTCCTGCCGGGTCAGTACTCCACCGTGGGTCGACCTGCCTCCTGTGAACCACCAAGGCACTCAGATGAGGAGGTGAAGTGCCCATCGAGGAGGATTAGAGCCCCGAGAGGAAGGGGGATGTCCAGCCTCATGGCCTCCCTCACCTCCTCCCCCACCTCAGAGGTTTACAGCCTCCCCCGTCAGGAAACCACCTCCTCCCTGAACTCTGAGGCCAGTGGAACCAGCGCCTCCTGCAGGACCATCAGCGCCTCCTCGTCTTGTTGCCAGGTCAGTCTAGGAGAAACAGACTCAACATTTGTTTTGATCAGAGATGGCAAAAGTACACACATCCTTTACTCAAGTAGACGTACAGATACTCGTGTTACCAGAAAATAAGAGGTTCCTTATACTGCTTCCTGTTTTCTTCTCCACTCCCAGGAGCTTGAAGGATTCCCCAACGCCCCCGCAGCCAGAGTCCTCCCCCAGTCTCCCTCCGAGTGGTCTTACCCCAGCGACACTACCCTTAACGAGTCTCCCAGTTCCCCTTCCTCCTCCTCCCACTACCGCTCTTCTTCCTCCATCGCTGAGTCTCAGATCAGCTACCAGGCCCTCTCCCAGAGCTCCAGCATCCAGAGCAGGGAGACGGACTGGAGCGGCATCGGCCAGGAGATGAGGTCTGTTTCTGGGGAAGGTTGGAGCGGTGACCCCCTGCTTTCCTCTGGTCGCTCCACCCCTTCTAACACCTCAGAGAGAGTCGCCTCCTCCATCACAGATTCCCAGATCAGCTACTTGTCCCCGAGCTCCAGCATCCAGAGTGGCTTTACCCAGGAGTTGAGCTCCGTTTCTGGGGACAGTTGGAGCGGCGACCCCCCATGGTCCTCCGGTCGCTCCATCGCCCGCAGTATCTCCCTCCGGAAGTCCAAGCGTCCTCCTCCCCCCCCGCTACGCTCCGACTCCCTGAGGCAGCAAAGGCAAGCTCGGATGAAACCACCGCGCTCCAGAAAAACTCCCATCTCCTCCCCCATCTCCTCCCCCATCTCCTCCCCCATCTCCTCCTCCTCGAAGGCCGTCCAAGACCCCTGGGTGCCCCGGAGCAGCAAGCGGCGCCAGAGTGGGTTTAACTGTGGGACCGTCACTACTTTTGAACCCTTAACCTCCCCCTCTGAGGAGGTACCGCCTATATCCCTCCCCCATTCTCCCCTCCTCCCCCCTGGATCAGAGGAGGAGGGGTTTAACCTCAACCCCCAGCCCAATGCCTTTCTCGGGATTCAACGTCTCGCCTCCCCCTCCAGCGGATACTCCAGCCAGTCTAACACCCCGACGCCCGGCACTCCTGTTTCCTCCCCCCTCTCCCCTTCCCCCCCTCTCTCCCCCCTCTCAGCCTTCTCCCTCCCCCCAACTCACCCCCTCTCCCCCATACCAAGGACCACCTCCAAGGTTGAAGGGAGGGCGAAGCCACCTGTGCCGGAGAGGAAGTCGTCCCTCATCTCCTCCCCCTTTTCCTCCACCTCCTCCCTCTCCTCTTGCACCTCCTTGGACTCTTCAGCTAAGCTTCCTCCCCCTCCTCCCCCACCTCCTCTCCCACAATGCACCTCTCTTTTGCCTCCCGTCTTTTACTCGCCAACTTTCGTATCTCCTCGACTTCCTGCTCCATCCTTTACCAACCTCTTTGCTGCTCTTCCTCCCCCACCTTCATCTCTTCCTCCTCCGCCTCCTCCGCCTCCTCCTCCTCCACCTCCTCTCCCAGCTTCATCCCTCCCCCCTCCTCCCCCTCTTCCTCCTTCCTCCCGACCGCCTCCACCCTCCTATTCCTACTTTGCCAAACAAACCTTCAGCTTCCCTCCACCTCCAGATTCCCCTCCTCTTCCTCCACCTCCAGAATTCTTGCAGATTGATGACCTTCCTCCTCCTCCACCTCCTCCTCCACCTCCGCCTCTTCCTCCCCCATCTACCTCCCCCCTCCCCCCACCAGTAATCCGCAAGTCTCCAAACCTCCCCCCTCTCGTCACTGCACAAGCTCTGCAGGGCGTCAAGCTTCGGCACGTCAAGAACCAGGAATGCCTGCTAACTAGCATCATGCTAGCTGATTCTGCTAATGCTAAACACGAGCTACCTAGTAAAGAAGCCAATCTAGGCAGTGCTGTGTCGGCTAATGCTGATGCTAAACTAGTTGGAACTGGGACACAAAAAGCTGTCTGTGATCTTGATAGCAATGAAGCTAACATCATTAGTGATTTATTTGGAAATGCTAACCTTGATTGCCCAGCCAATGCTTACGTAACGCAGGCTGAACATGATAACTACAACCCAACAAAAAGTGACATAAGGAAACCCAACGATACGTCTTCTAATGCTAATCTTCAGAGCCCAAAAAGCACTGTTGCTAACCAGAGAAGCTCTGAGCCTAAAGCCCAAGATATCCAGTACACGGAACCAGAGAAGGAGCATTCAGATATGTATGCAACACTGGCAAACACTCAAGTCTTCACACCTGATAGTCCCTGGGTCAAAATGTCTGACGGAACTGACGAAGACCACAATAAAATAACTGTCCAACAACAACAACAAGTCACGGATACAATGTTAGCAGACGCTATGCTAACTGCACAACAAGGAAACACTGATTCTTCATACTGGACCCTCTCTGGAGCAAAACAAAGAGAAAGTAGAACAAGCAAAGATGGCATAGAGACAAACAATAGGAATGATTCAGAAATGTGGAATGGTGCAGCTGATGGAGTTACAACATCCTTTAGTGATTTATCACAGAATAATATAGTCTGTAATGAAGCTACCCAGAAGAACCCCCGCTCCCCGAAGAAGCCGACCGTCCCAAAGAAACCTGATCTTGGCGTCCTGGGTCTCATGGCGTCCCCGGAGGCAAGAAGAAGACAAGTTGGGTTAAAGAGGCAATCCCAGCTTCCCCCTGATTCCACATTGCACAGTCCTCCCAACAGCAGTTCGCCTTCACCAAAGCACTTGGCACAAACTACTGAAAGAACCACAAGTCCTGAGGAATCAGTGACCCCTTCCAGCTCCCCCCAAAGGCAGAAACCACCGATTGTGCACAAGAAGCCAGATCTTTCCCCCGAAAGAATCAAACAACTCATTGAATTTGGAACTCAAGGGGAGTCGTCCAAAGGGAACTGTGCCCCCCAGGAGGTCGTTGGTATTTCACAGACCATGGGTGCCTCAGGGATCGTGGAAACCACAAGGGCTAGAAACACTTTAAACGGCAACATGGGTACATTGGAGAACTGTGGTACCTCAGGAACACGGGGAACCTTGCAGACCAGTAGAATATACGGACACTGTGATGCCTCAGGGATCATGGGACTCTCCGAGACTCAGAGTATCAAAGGGGCGACTAAAACTGCTTTGGGGAGCTGTAGTACCTCAGATACAATTGTCAACTCAGAGATCGAGGATAACACAAGGGCTAGAAACACTTTAAACTGCAACATGGGTACCTTGGAAGATTGTGGTACCCCAGGAGCATGGGGAACCTCAGAGACCAGTAGCAGACGAGGGAACAAGGGCATCTATAGCCACTGTGGTGCCTTAGGATCAAGAATCATTTCAGAGACCTGTGGCACTGTGAGCACCTTGGGGAACCATGGTACCCCAGACATCACAGATACTAGAAACACTTTAAATAGCACCATGGAGACAAGAAGCAACCTAGGAACAAATGGCATAAATGGGAACTTGGGACCCTCTGGAGTCATGGGTATCTCCGCGAACCGGAGTCCCAAAAGGGTTCTTAACACTATCAATGCGACCACGAGTACTTTGGAAAACCGTGGTACGTCAGGAACAACAGGTACCATGGAGACCTCTATCAACCTAGGGACCATTGGCATAAATGGGTACTGTGGCCCCTCAGGGGTTAAGGGTATTGCAGAGCACAGTGATATCAAAGGGGCTCCAAACACCATCAATGGTTACAGGGGTTCTTTGGCGAACTATACCTCAGAATCACGGGGCAACCCGGACATGTGTAGCTCCTTAGGGTCCATAAGCACCTCGGAGAACCGGGATACCTTAGGATCCTTTAACAACTTAGGGGCCATGGGCATCTCTAGGAACTGTGGTCTTTCAGGGGTCATTGGCACTGCAGAGTATTCTGGTATTAAAGGGGCTCCAAACACTATCAATGCAAGCATGAGTTATATGGCCAACTGTGGTACCTCAGAATCAAGGGGCACCTCGGAGACTTGTAGCACCCTGGGGACCTTAAGCACCTTGGAGAACCAAGATACCTTAGGAACTTGTGGAACTACAGAGACCTGTAGCAACGTAGGGACCATGGGCATCTCTAGGAACCTCAGTACCTCAGGAACAAGGGGAACCTCATACCTTGGTTCTTGTAGTACCTTGGGGGACTTTGGGGCAAACGGAGCGACTTCCTCCCAAAACGGTGCCTCAGACCCCTGGACTATCAACACAAGACTTCATAAAGATGAGGACAAAACACCTCAGAGGATCATGATGACGTCATCGATGGCTGAAGAGGAAGAGGAGGAAGAGAGAGGGATGAAGACGACCACGATGATGATGATGCCAACAACCACCAGGAAAAAGGACAAATCGAGGAAGAGGAGGAAGAGGAGGGTGGGCCGACAGCTGCTGATGAACGCGTCGACTACGAGGCGCTCCTACTCTTCCTCTTCCTCACTGTCATCGTCTTCATCTTCATCCGACGACGAGCGGGATGTGGTGAAAGGAAGAACGATGCAAACAAGAGTGAGGATGACGACAGAGATTCCCTGCGCTCTGATTGGTCCGAGCAGCTGCTCCCTCAGCAGTGCGCTGTCCAATGAGAGCCTGCCTGGGGCGCCTTCACTTCCTGATCTCCTGATAGAGGAAGAGGAGAAGGAGAGGAGCGACGAAGGCAGGACGACGACCGGAAAACATGAAGACGGTAAGCTCCATATTTTATTTTATTTACAAACTGCAAAGACCTTCATCGTGTGAACTTAGTAAATAAATACTTCTCACCTTTAACATAATAACTTTATTGATCTGTATTATATATACCATCGTGTACGTTCTTTCCCACGAGGTGTGCTATTCCTGTCATGCTGCTTTCTCTTTATTATGTCTTGTTGGCGGTTCTGTTTGTCTTCTATGTTGAAAAAGGGAAGCATGATTTCCACCCAAAGGAGTCTGAACTATTGCTCACAGCTGTACGCGTCTTTGAAACGTAAATAAATACTTCTCGTTCTCCCGTCCAGGCGATGTGTTCCTCAGTGTTTCTGCGGATCAGATGTTCGTCTCCGATCGACCGCGAACCACCGAGGATCTGTTCACCGTCATCCACAGGTAGCACACACACACACACACACACACACACACACACACACACACACACACACACACACACACACACACACACACACACACACACACACACACACACACACACACACACACACACACACACACACACACCTTTACTGTACCCACCATGAGTCTGCTTCATCTCTCCTTTCACCTCTGTGGAGCAGTGCATTCTGGGAAGGCACGGCGTGAAGCCCAGCAGGTAAACATGGTGACTAAATGTGCGGTAGTTAGCGTTAGCTCGGTTCAGCTAGTTAATATTAACCTGTCCCTTTCTAGAAGATTTTTAAAAGTGCCGTAAAAAATAATAAATCTGTAAAAGAAAAACAAAATAAATGTAAAAAAAACTAAACATTATGTTTAAAGGTCATTCATAAAAAAATATGAGTTACTATTTTTTTATGTAAATGTCCCTTTTTTCTCATGAACGTTTTTACCTTATTTGACAGATGAGTTCTTTTGGCTCTTCTAGGACCCTGTAGAGGTTAGCTTCCTGTCCCCTTGTTGCCTCTCTTGTTTCAAGCGCCCTCCTCCCTCTGTTCTCCATCTTCCTGGTTCCCCCTCACACATCCAGCCCCCATGGTCTGCAAAATCCCTGTGTTCATCCTTAAGCAGTTGACCAATCACAACAGAGCCGGCCAGCTAACCAATCACAGCAGACCAGGCTCGGACGGAGAGAACAGGAAGTGACGGGTTTGTTTTCTGTCTGTCTCAGGTCTAAGAGGAAGATGTTAGGAAGACGGGATTCAGGAGATGATGGACGACTCTCCTCCTCTTCCTCCTCCTCTTCCTCTCCGGTCACCCCCACCTCCCTAAAGGGTCAGAGGTGGTCGAGGAGCGACAGCTTTAAGGCTCTCCTGCTGAGAAAGGGCGGTCGCTCCGACTCTTCTTCTCGAGTCTCTGCCGTTGAGCGTCTCCGTGTCCTTCCTGTGTCCGGCCACCAGAGGGCGCCAGAGCATCACAGCAAACCTGTCCTTCCTGTGTCCGGCCACCAGAGGGCGCCAGAGCATCACAGCAAACCTGTCCTTCCTGTGTCCGGCCACCAGAGGGCGCCAGAGCATCACAGCAAACCTGTCCTTCCTGTGTCCGGCCACCAGAGGGCGCCAGAGCATCTCAGCAAACCTGCAGAAACCCCAGATCTGTCCGGTTTTAACTCGCCGCCATTCGATCACAACTTCTCCCTGATTGGGTTCGGTTGGGGGCGGGACCTCTTCCTCGCCTCCTCCTCTTCCTCTCCTCACTTCCTCTTCCTCTCCTCCTCCTCCTCTTCCTCTCGTCCTCGCTCCCTCACCCCCCCCTGCTCCTCCAGCCGGCGTTTCTCCGCTCGCTCTCGCCTCTTCGCCGCCCCCATGACGGCCATCTTTGAAGGAGGGAGTGATGAAGAGGAGGAGGAAGAGGATGAGGTTTTTATGGACGTTTGAAAGGCCTTTCCTCTGAATGTATGAAGCACATTTCTCTCTACGGAAGCCTGAAGAGGACATGGCTGTGATTACTTTATACTCTC